CCCTGTGTCCCTGTGGGAGCGAGGGCCCCACATCACCCTGGAGCAGGTGCTGTCAGATCCCTCCCCACCCCCACACACCTCGCTCTGCATACTTACACTATGCTCTGGAGACCTCCAACTGCCTGCATCTCTGGGCCTGACAGGCATGTTCCAGAATTCTGGAATGCTCTTCCGCCAGCAGGGCTGTGGTGGGGAATGAATACTTCCCCAAAGCAGCCTTCAGCCAAAGACTGACAAGCATTGGTGTAGGAATAGTTCAGGCTCCCTTACCCTCCCCCCTCTGGTGGAATTAGGCACCTGCTTTATACCGTTTCCCAGAGGGATTCTGCTCCAATAGCCCAGGGGAGTAGCTGGCCTAACAGTGCGCCCTTCACTGGCTGTCTCGCTCTCCTCCTCCCCTGCCGGCTGTCAGCAGGTCCCGAATAAACCCTTGGCTCTCTAACGCTTGTCTCAACATCAACTCCAGGCGTTACTCAAACCAGGACACCTGATTTTCAAGAGGAGCTAGAAATCTGGTGGGGGTTTTTTGTTTGTTTTTGTTTTTTGTTTTTAAATAAAACCCCTTACTTTTTAAGTGTTGGCTTCTAATGTCAATTGTTAAAAACAAAACCAGACACTGCATGAGCCACTTGTCCGCAGGGTAGATTCGGTCCGTGGTCAGCAGTGTGCAAGGCGATGCGTGCACCAGGCCTGGCCTGAGCCTGCACGCCCCCTGAGTTCTTGGACACCGTGGCCGTGGTTATCCTCATGGGTGTTCTCTTTAGCAACTTGGCTGTCTTCCCCCCCTGCCCCTCATGAGGATGTGCCCTCCTTGTTGTCACTCTCCCCACGCCCCTTCCTTCCTCCCTTCTTTCTCACGGCCTGATTTTCCTGGGCAAGCCTCTCCTGCTGGGCCTTTACTACTTGCTTGTTCTTCCAATAAACTGCGCAGCAGCGTTTAGCGAGGGGTTTACTAGCTACTAGAGGATTACATCTCCAGGGAACCTGTTTACTGTTGGTAACCTTTGTCCAGCTGTTTCAGAAACGGCTCCTTTAAGACTTACCTCCAAGCTCAGATCAAGAGTGTCCTGTGGTGTTTATGCGTGGCCTGCTCCCACAGGGTCCCCACTCTCTGTGGGGGTCACCACACCTTTTGGGTAATGCTGCAGAGGCCCTGCAGGTGTGGGCTGAGTTAAGGAAGCCAAGGGCTAAGGGTTTCAGGTGACCAGGAGGTTTTACAACAGTAGCGTAGATGCCTTAGGGCGTGAACTTTGACCCACAGTGCCCTGGAGGCTGCTATGATCTCCACAGACCAACTCTTTTGCTTCCGCCCTGCAGCTCCGTGAGAATGGTGCCGAAGGTGGGCTGGGGCCCTGAAGCTTGTTCCTGAACGTTTTCTTCCCACCCTCTTCACCCACGACCTTCTCATCAGCTTATCATAGCTTTTAGTCCTATATGCATACATTTGCAGGTTTCCAATGGCTACAAAGTGTTCTGTAGAATGCCAGAGTCTTGAAAATGTTGTTTGGTAAAAAAAAAAAAAGTTTCCATGATGAAAGAATTCCACCCATAAAAATTGTTCTGAGTGAAGTCTGGTAAGCTGGGGCAAAGGAAAGCAGGACTTCTCAGAGCCTTTAATATGTTAATGGGCACTGTAACTTCCTAAGAGCCTCTAGGTGATCACGGTTCCTCCAAACATACTTGGGGACACACGGATGCAGACTCCAGTGCTGGGCCTGCTGTAGGCAGATGACACGGGTCCCTGCTGGTGATCCCACTGCTTCCCGGATGGATCCAGCTGACTGTCACTCCCTCAGAGACTCCCTGGGTATTTGGCTCCTTCCCAGGGTTGGGTAAGTTGGGACGTAGTGGAGGAAGATTCGGGAGCTCAAAAAGGGTCTGAGAGTGGAGAGGAAAGATGGTTCCAAGCCTGACTGGTGACTCAGGGGGTGAGTGGGTGGAGAGGTCTCCAGGCTTCTCTGCTCTATGATTATGGCAATTTGTTTCTCCAGGAGGTCATTTGTGGTAGGAAACATAGCCCAGAAATTAAACTAAATATACCCAGTGCCCAGAAGACTGGAGACAGCAATGGCACCTGGCTGGTGGGGGGGTGGGGGGGCGCGGGGGGGGCGGAGATACTGAGGTTGGAATGTCATGGTACAGGCCTGTATTTTAAGGATTGGGAGGAAAATGGTTTGAGGTTTCCCCCCCGCCAAGGCCTGGCCTGGGTGAAATAGTAGAGGTACATGTCTGAGTTTGGGGGAAAGGGTCCCGTTCCTTCATATTATGCCTCATTCTGTTGTGACCCCCCTCATTCCCCTCCTCTTTGCTCACCAATGCTCAGCCCTTCTCTGCTTCTTCATGGTTGCTCCTGTCCCCCCCCCAAACCCACACGGCTTTACCAGCTCTGTCTTCCTGGGCTCCAAAATGAACCTTCTCCCTTCTCCTTGGGGAAATGCCTACCAGGTGGCCGTTAGAAGACACAAGGGCCAAAGTCTAATTCGCACCGAAGTTATCACGACTGATAGAGCAATGGAATAACAATTTCCAAGGACTTCATTACATTTCTGAGCTGATGTCCTCGTGTGGGTTTTGAGACCTTGTGAAGGTCAAGGGAATCTTAGGTGCCATTTCAACATGTGAAGCGGGTCAACACGCAGGTGCTCTGGGTGAAAGGGCACTGTCTACTCTTTCAGCTGAATTTTGGAACAGTTGCTGTAAACCACTGATTACACTCCCCATTCTCAAGGAAACTAGGGCTCAGATAAGGAAAGTGACCTGTCCAAGGTCATGGGGCCAGAAGTGGCAAATCTGGGACCTGTCCCCAGGTCCCCTGGCCTCTAGCCAATGCTCCTGTCTCTGCCCTGTGATTCCTAGGTATTCATGACTCGGACCTCACCCTTGCAGCTGGCTCCGAGCAGTCCTCACCGGCTCTGCCATCCTGGTAACAAAAACGACCATCATCAACCGCCCCCTGCGCTTCGCCAGGCTTCCTTCCCTCTGTCTGTCACTCTTGGGGGCCTACCTCTACCCTGCTTCATGTGAGAAGTCACCCCTTTTCCTACTGCTGCTAATTTTTTCTTGTTAATTTTTGATTGCTGCTGAGAACAAGTGCAAAAGAAAGGCGGAGACACACTTCAGATTTTGCTCATTGCATGTTTTCGTTTTTAATTAAATAAGTCAAGTAAGCCATCAAGTGATGGGTTCACATTCTGTTCCGCAAAGCAGACCCTGACCGGCGGTGGCCGCCAGCTCTCTGAAGGGCAGCCCCTGCGTTTCCAGGAGATGGCAGATTGTAGCCACGGCAAGGACATCTGGGACACTGATGGCAAGGGGGCGGGAGCAACGTACACACCATTATGTACACACCTTGGCCACACATGGCCACGAAGGGAGTGTCCCGTACCACGTGGCCATGAAACAGGACACAGGGTCGAGGTCTTGGCAAAAAAGACAGAGTTTGCAGGATCCAGGAGGGAGCAGGGGAGCCAGGCGAACTTGGCCTGGAACATACAGACGAGACGGAGACTCCAGGGGTGCCCAGTTCAAGCCCAATGGTAGAGGAAGCAGGGTATTTTCCCAAATGAAATACCTGGTCTACAGTATGAGCTGGGTCCATGGGGCTGGCACTGCATTCATATCCGTGGAAACACATACAACCAATTCGTCCCCCAGGCACATAGTCCTGGAATGACAGAGGACACGGAGACCAAAGGATCTCAAAGCTCTTAAGACATCTGAATTTGCCAATTCTGCTTTAGTCCTTTTGAGGTAAAGAGCAGCTTCCAGTATTCCTGAAACTGTGGGCAGCGGAGAGGCGATATGGTTGCATTCGGGAAGCCCTGGGCCCTCTGCCTCTTGTCCAGCTGGACCACGTCCTGGGAATTTTCACTAGCAAACCCACCAACCTGGGACCCCTGGATTTCAGCGGGTGCTCCTTTCACTTAGTACAGATCAGCAAGGCCTACTTGGTTTCTGCAGACATGCTTCCCCACCCCCACCTCTCCCCAACCCAGGAAGCCATCCCCCCAGGACCTGCCTTTGTTCTCAGCCATGGGATTGGGAGCGAGGGATGGCCTCAGAGATGCAGCCGTCTGGTCTTCTGCTCCTGTCCTCCATAATCCAGGCCCTACAGGCAATTAAAATAGGCCCTAATGTGCGAGAGGACCACCAGGGCTGGAAGAGACCTTCCGGGTCGGGACCAGACCACCTGATGCTTCCATCTCTAGACCAGGCCCCCTTCTTCTGGGACAGGGATCCCCTGACCTCCTGTTGGATCTCACTCATCATCAGACAGGGCAAAGGACAGGACAGAGGTGGTGGGGAAAGATGTCACTGGAATGGGTTGGGTGGGCCCTCTGCTCTCAGGGGTCCGGTCGGCAGCTGCCCCATTAGACCGGCCTTTGGCAGTAGCTTCCAGGCTGAGCACGCTGGCAGATGGGGAGTAAACTCTTCAGTAAACTTTTTTTTCTATTCATTTAGTTATTTATTTTCAAGTGTGTGTATCACATAAAGGGACCAAAGGCTAGAATTTGTTCATGTCTCTCAATCTCAGTAATAACTTGGTGATAACCCACTGCGGGAGGTGGGGGTGTGCCACAGAGTTGTGAATCTGCTTTCTTTCCTCTCTGTGGGGACTCAGGAACCCTGCTCCCCACCGACTGTTCCCAAAGACCCCTGCCCCCAACCTGGTGCCCTCATCCTCTCCGAGGTTTACAAACAAGGCCAGAGGAGAAGCCAGGAATAGGCAGCAGTGGTGACAGCCTGTGGGTGTTAGACACTACCCTGTCTCACCAAGGCCTGGAATGTTCTGAACTATTTATATAGGCCGGGCTAAAGAGGTCTTCATCAAGAAAAAGAAAATGAGTAAACACTCATTGCTGAATGGGCCTCTTGTTCCCGGGAAGCCGGCAGCCCCAGAGGTGAGGCCTCAGCTGCTCCCTCTGTCTGCGGGCAGGTGGACGCCATACAGGGGAGAGGCTCCTGATGGAGCAGTAAGAGTAGAGAAGCCCGGACTGGCCTCACTGGAAAAGGAGGCACTGGCCCAGCTGGACCACCTTCCTCAGCCCAGCTGCCTGCTGAAAACCACAAGTGCGTAACTCCAACCAGGCCCCCCATAGAATAAAGTCAGTAGTCGCCCCCACCCCGTCCTTCCCCAAACCCCGAGGGTTCCCGGGAGCATTGCCGAGTCCCAAGGCAACACTCGCTTGAGTTGTGCCCTGTTTCAGACACCAGGGCAAAGGTAATACAGCAGAAAGGGCCTTAAATGCCGCATCTTCAAATCAACAAGAAGAAACCAAGGTACCTCCCTAAACAACACCCTGGGGCCAGCACAACTCCGTGCCCTTGGTTTTAGTCTTGTGCTCTGAATCGTCTTCGAGTGTCCTTGTGTGTATGGAGTGAGTCAACGGTTTCTAGTATTATTTTGTCTTTCTTGATTTGGGTACAGCTTTGCGTCCCTGCAAAAAATAAGGTATTTTATGTCTCTTCTTTGTCACAAAATAAATAAATTAAGTCAACTTGCAGTGTACAAATTGTCAATGTCCTGAGAAGTCCCAAAGGTCCATTCTCCGCACAGTCCTCGGAGCTCAGGGGTGGAGACCTTGGCCGCAGAGGCATAGGAAGGAAGGAAGAAGTTTGCTGTCCACACCAGGAGGGCCCCAAGAAGAGCCCCAGATGGAGGTACCTGCCTCCGTCCCTGCCCCAGCCCCCACCAACCACAGGTGGGGAACCGTGTGGGGAACAGTGTGGGGAGGGGAAAAACAGCTAGTGCTTCCGGGCTTCCAGAAACATCCTGGTCTGTCTCTGCCCCAGGGTCAAGTTTTCAGAGCTGGAGTCCCTTTGGACCCCAAATCAGAGCCAGCTCCCTGCACAACTTATTTCGGGACTGGAGAGCCTAGACTGGAGGCCTCCTTGAACGACTTGAAGTTCATGGAGACCCAGCAGCTCAAATGTGGTGATTGTGAGAGACCCCACAAAATGGCTACAGTCCTCACCGTCTCAAACAGCAGCTTGTAGCTGCTGGGCAGACACACTCCTCCCTTCCCCACGGCAGCACCAGCTGGACTCAGATCCTCTCTTTCCCTCATGTCCATATTACTCAATCCAAAACTCAGCCCTCTGGGTTTGACAACAGGATAGATCTGACATAGAAGTTGTCCAGGAAATCAGAAACAGCCCTAGTGAACTGGGGCAGCTCTTCGAGTTCTGGGGTGGACTGAGCTCTGCTCCCCAGTTTGGGCTGGGGGTAGAAAAGGACCTCCACTGTGGGGGCATCTGCTGCTTGGCCTAGGCCCTGCCCCCCCCAGGAAATGCATTTGGACCTGAAAGAGATGTTCAAATCTGGCCTCGTCTCAGGGAGAGGATGAGGGCTAATTTATGTTGCTTCTGGACACACAGCAAAGAACACTGGTGGTTTCTGAGATTCGTTCCACATGGGGTTCAAACAGAAACGCCCGTGGGGCACTGTGGGTTGCCATGTGGCCGCCCAGGCTCTGGTCCTTCTGGGAAAAGGCTCTTCCTCCTCCTCCTCTCCCTCCAGCAAGAGCCAGAGTGCTCCCTGCTGGTCCTCCCAGCCCCCTAAAGCCCAAGATTGCTGTCACGCAGCACTTCTGTAGAAACAAAATAAAAAAACATAGCCACAAAACAAGATACCAAACTATAAATAACTTTAAAAAAAAAAAAAAACACCCAGATAAAATACCCAGCCTACCCCAAGTTGAGCAACACTTTTCCCAGGGCCCTAAAAGGAGGAATTACAGATACGAACATGTAACCATGGTGACCAACCATGAGGCTGACCTCTGTCCCCTGTCTTCTCGGGGGAGGGGTATCCTGATGTGACTTCTCCCCCAGGGGCACTCTGCACTCTTCTGGGCCCTGCCCCACACGAGGCCTGGCCAGAAATGGCAGGACTCCTCAGCTGCCTTTTGCCTCCAGTCAGACCTGAGGCAGCCTTCAAATATGGACTCGCTCTCAGGGAGCCAGTGGAGCTGGGACGGGGCCTTTGGGCTGCAGTCATGTGAGGACTGGCCACATCATTTCAAAACATCCTGCCTGCCAGCAGAGAGGATGTGCGTGGGCCAGAGGAGGTAGCCAGGAGAATGTAAGGCGGGCAGGGGCCGCAGACTCGGAGGTTCTGTATCCACCGCTCAGTCCTAAACCTGGTCAGAACAGGGTCATGGCCCATGACTGTGTTTCCTTCCATGTCCCTAAATAATTCTAAACATGTAATTAAAGGCTGCTCTTCAGGTGTGTGATAGTTCAATTCCGTGGGCATAAAGCAACAGGGAAGCCTGTGGTGGGTATGTGCGTAGGTGTGTGGACTTGTGTTTCTATGATGTTTCTGTGTCCGTGTCTGGTATATGTAGGTACCTGTCTTTTACACGTGTATGTGTGCTTTGTAGTTCTACGCAGGGCTGGTGTCAGTGACCCGCACAGCGATTCCATTCATGAAAATACTGAATCATTCTTCGTTGATAAGCCCTAGCTGTCATCCTCTGACATTCTGGGCTGTTCCAGCCCCTCCCCTCAGACCCATGCAGATTCCACACTGGATTGTGTAGAAATCCAGAGACTGACATGTGAACAGTGAGTACAGCAGAAGGTCTGACTGCGGCTGGTGGGTGCCCAAAGCCCCTTCGGGTTAAACATCTGGACTCTGGCCCACGAGGTCTACAGGCATTTATGTAGTTTTGGGTGTATGCTTGTGTGTGTGTGTGTGTGTGTGTGTGTGTGTGTGT